CCTGGTTTTGTCAGTCCTGGTTTTGTCAGTCCTGGTTTTGTCAGTCCAGGGTTGGTCAGTCCTGGTTTTGTCAGTCCTGGTTTTGTCAGTCCTGGCTTTGTCAGTCCAGGTTTTGTCAGTCCTGGTTTTGTCAGTCTAGGGTTGGTCAGTCCAGGGTTGGTCAGTCCAGGTTTTGTCAGTCCTGGTTTTGTCAGTCCAGGATAGGTCAGTCCGGGTTTTGTCAGGCCAGGGTTTGACAGTCCAGGTTTTACCAGTCCAGTCCAGTCCAGGTTTTACCACATGCCGTATTTATCACTGTAATTTTTGTAATGAGCAGAACCATATATCGAATTACTGTAATTTCAAACTGAGTACAGAGTATAGAAAACAACCCTGGTCCTACTCCAATGTACATTGACCCTAGCAAAACATTATCAGTCCCATTTAGCCTCAAGTTAATGAGCTGGTATTTGGACAAAATTCTGGACAACAATGTGTTGCAATGAGTTTGAGCTCTTTGATTTACAATAGCAAACAAGAAATAAATTATGCCAATGACCTTATGTTAATTATGGATATTGGAAATCAGTTGTATTCCTGTTTATCTCAACTAGCTAACCAGACAGCCTTTTTTTATTGCAAACAGAATTACCACCAATGCTAAATGTGTGTGAAACTGACTATCAACTTCAATACTGTGAAATCTAGACTGGCACTATACATCAAGAGCACCATGTAGAAGCTAGGATATTAGTACAATATCTACTTTAACTTACTAGCATATGGTAATATATATATTTAGGCACTGCCTAAAAGCGAAGCTCCCGATACATTAGGGAGCCAGCAGGGAGCCCAATTTGAATGAATCTGAAAGGTAAAAATAAGGTCACATCACGAACGACAAAAATTATCTCAATTCTGTAGAAAGATATAAAATTATTGAATGAAAGTCTTCAGCTTTGTTTTGCCGGATGGGACCCGCGACAGGAGACAAACAAAGCTGTATTTTTCTTGAACGAAAAACATACGATAGTTGGTTAAAAACAACTGAATTGTTAAGAATTTAAAAGTACGAATATTTGTTGTAATATGCTCTTCGTGTTATATTTCATCCAGCATTAAAATAAATTAAGCTTATCAGTATCTGTAGTAGAAAGGCATCAATAACTTTCTCTAAAGTTAAAGCAAAAAATGCACGAAACACTATCAAGGATTTAGAAAAGCAAATTGAGGAAATTGCAAATACAGAAGAATGGTTCTTGAATGAAACGTTGATTAAAAATCATGAAACTATCAAAAACTCAATTGGAGTAAATCGGAAAGCAGCCAAGCGAGAT